ATAAAAGTAAACAGCACGTGGGTCTGGAAACATGGCTCAGCAGTTAAGAGCACTGGCTGCCCTTCCAGAGGCTCTGCATTCAATTCCCAGCACCCACATGACAGCTAACAATGGTCCATAATTCCAGTTCCAGGGAGGCAAAAACTCATACACATAAGATAATAAATAAAAATATTTTTAAAAAACAGCACACATTGTAAAAACCATAAATAATACTTTAAAATATAAATCATGCATTATGCTAATGCCTTGAGATAGTAATAAAATATATATTAAATGTTTTATTGTTTTTGTCCTGTTTTGTTTTAGAAAGGGTCTCACTATGTAGCCCTGAGTGCCTCAAACTTGCTATGAAGACCAGGCTGGCCACAAACTTCCAGAGATCCACCTGCCTCTACTTCCTGAGTACTGGGTTTAAAGGTGTGCACCACCATACCCAGCCTATATGACATGTTTTAAGCATTATTAGGAGTCTATAATTATAATCCAAATGCCTCAAAGTCATCTAACATTGTGGGATTATTTTCCCTATAATGTTAAAGTAAGATAACCTGATACACATGGGAGGCTGAGGCAGGAGGATCAGAAGATCAAGGCCAGCCTGTGCTACACAGAACTGGAGCTCCCATTTCACATTTTATAAGCACTGAAAGAAGTCCAGAATCCTTCCTAGTATTTTTGAAATATTCTTGGAATGAGGGCAAGATGTCCTGAAGGTATTTAACAACCATTTAGTTTCTTTTTCCTTGATTTCCCATTCCAGATCTTGGGAAGATTTTTCAGAAACAAAAGGCCCTTTAAAGAATGTTTTTAAAAGTGAAACTCCTGGGGCTGGAGAGATGGCTCAGCAGTTAAGAGCACTGACTGCTCTTGCAGAGGACCCGGTTTCGATTCCCAGCACCCACATGGTGGCTACAAACCATCCTTAACTCCAGTTCCAGGGGAATCCAACACCCTCTTCTGACCTCTGCGGCACTGCAGGACACAGGTGCACTCACATACATGCAGGCAGTACACTCATATACATAAAAGCAATAAAATTAAAAAAAAAATTTTTGGTCTTTTTGAGACAGGGTCTCCCCATAGCCCCTGGATCTCCCCATAGCTGTCCTGGATCCACTATGGAGACGAGGCTGGCCTTGAACTCACAGAGATCTGCCCACCTCTGCCTCCTGAGTGCTGGGATTAAAGGCGTGTGCCTCCACGCCCAGCCTAATAAATTTTTTTTTAATTAAAAAAAAGTGAGGGGGCTGGAGAGATGGCTCAGGAGTTAAGAGCACTGACTGCTCTTGCAGAGGACCTGAGTTCAATTCCCAGCACCCACATGGCAGCTAACAACTGTCTATAACTCCAGTTCCAGGGGAATCCAATGCCCTCTTCTGACTCCGCAGGCATTGCACAACACAGGTGCACTTACACATATGCACAGACAATACACTCAAACACATAAAATTTAAAAAATAAAAGTGAAACTCCTTCCCTTTTCCTATTGATACAGAATGACCATAGAATGTTTGCCTTCCTGTAATACTCTGAGAAAAATATTCAGTACTAAAGGGGTAAGAGTGTGGGTTCTATAGGCCCAAGTGTGAGTGCCAGCTCTGCAACCCCTTTCCATGTGATACCAGCCACATCACTTGCCATACTACACCTCAGAGGTTCTCTCTGTAAGAAAATAGTCACAATACAGGGCTGGAGAGATGGCTCAGAGGTTAAGAACACTGATTATTCTTGCAGAAGACCGGGGTTCAAATCCCAGCACTCACATTGCAGCTAACAACTGTCTATAACTCCAGTTCCAGGGGATCCGATGGCCTCTCCTGTCCTCTGCAAGCATTGCATGACATGGTGTACTTACCTACATACAGGCAATACACACAAACACATAAAATAAAAATAATAAAATATTTTTTAAAAAGAAAGAAAATAGTCACAATAGCGTCTATGTCCTAGAGCTATTGTAAGCATGAAATGATCCATACAGAGGGAACGTTTCCCCAGGGATCATACAATGGCAGTGGCAACCATTAGCAAAAGAGACAAAATGGCACTGCATAAAGGTGCAGGTTCTGGAGTTCTGTGACTTTAGCAAGTCATATCTCTCCATACTGGGTTGTCCAATGAGCTACTAATTGAAAAGTGCTTATGAGTACCAACACATACTGTTACACAAGCCTGCATTAAATAAATTGCCCTATAAACACATGTGTTCCATCAAACTCCATTTCATAGTTCTCTTCCCTGGTCTTTCTAGCCCTACTGCACCATTTTACTGCTATCGTTGACAGCTTGGTTCTGCTACTCCCCCAGATCCTATCTAGCAAGTTGCCTCAGAGGGGCCAGTCCAACAGAGGTCTCCATGGATTTATGCCCAAAGACATCAAAAAGGAGGCAGCCCGGGCTTCTAAGAAGGTAAGTAGGCCTTGACTTTGGGTGGGCCTCTTCTCATAACTCTTTCAGAATCCTTATTTTTGATCCCTTCCTAGTTGCTAGTTTAGAAGTCAAAGGCCATTTGGACTTCCCAACTGCTCCTCTCCTTTCCTCCCCGCTCCCACCGTGTGTCAAATCCAGGGTCTGTGCATGCTAAGCAAGCACTCTACCCATGAACTACACCCCTGGCTCTGGTGCTGTTCTCTGGAACTGTAGTATCCTAAGTCGAGAGGAAGCAACATCCTGAGAAAACAGAAGAAAATTCAGTGCTGCTTGAAGTTCAGCTTTAGGGTACCCTGGAGCTTTTAGGACCACTGAGGGAAAGGGGATAGCTGTTGCCTCACAGAATTTCCAGTCCATAGAAAGATAAGCCACAGTGTCTATTGTTCTTTCTCGGGTCACAGAGCATTGTCTGGAATCTCATTTGCAGATCTGCTTTGTGTGCAAGAAAAAGGGAGCTGCTATCTACTGCCAGAAAGATCAATGCGTCAGAAACTTCCATCTGCCTTGTGGCCAAGAAAGGGGTTGCCTTTCACAATTTTTTGGAGAGTACAAGTGAGTGAAGAAGGAAAACAGCTGGGTCTTTCTTTGCTATTTAGCCACTACTGAAATCAAAACCCAGTTCTCATGAGCCTGTTTTGATTCACCAACCAATCTGTGCCCCTCCCCTCAGCATTCAATAATGGGAAACAGGGTCTTGACTTGGAGATTTCATAGGGGTTTCTTCTTGCTTCCTGTTCCCTCCTTAAATTACAAACAGCTGGGGTTCTTAGACAGCTGCTCAGAACTAAGTAGTGCTTTCAGGAACAGGAGGTCATGGAGACAGTGCTGGGAGCTTCGCTCAGTGAGTAAGCAGCTGTGAGAAGGCATTCAGGCTGTTCTTCACCCTCCTTCACCTCCCTTGAGTGTGGCGGTTCACTGGGCACCAAGCAAATGGCTGATTGCCCTTCTTAGGCTAGGCATCTGAGAATCTATATCAGTGACAAGGCAGAAACCAAGTCTGTTTACACACTACAGATCATTTTGTGAACAACATCGCCCAACACAGAATATCCAACAGGGAAGTTTAGGAGAGGAAAGCTGTGTCTTGTGTTGTGAAGACTTATCCAAAACAAGTGTTGAGAACATCCAGAGCCCATGTTGTAGTCAAGCTGTCTATCACCGCAAGTGCATCCAGGTAGGGCTCTCTTTGGTCTGGGGGGTGCCCTAGTTCTGTGCTTAGAACCAGAGCACCTAGTAACAGCTCAAGCATGTCTAAGCTTCAACACACCACACTGTAGACCTGTATGCAGGACTGTTTCCAGGTCAGCAAGAGGACAGCCAGCTCAGACCTTGATCATCTCTTAGCCTACTGGGCCTCATTCATGATATGATTTAGACTGAAATAAACCCCCAAGATTTCCAGAGCAAATGGGCAATTCCCAGAATGAGTCAAGGAGCTCAAAATCAGCCTCACTACTGGAATGAAAGGAAAGGGAATGTATCCAGATACCTACCCACTGAGCTAGCACTGCCAAGCCCCATAGCCAAAGGGGACAACTGAGACAGTCCTGGGAACTCTCAGGAAAGCATTTTGGTCCCAAGCCTAACACTTAGTTTGCAGCCCTTATCCTGGCCTACTCTCACTGCCTTCCCTGAACTCCAGAGAGATGAGGGTGGGTGTGGGAAGAAGGTGGTCGAGAGTGTTTTCATAAACACGTTTCTCTTACAGAAATATGCCCACACATCAGCAAAGCATTTCTTCAAGTGTCCCCAGTGTAACAACCGAGAAGAGTTTCCACAAGAAATGCTAAGAATGGGAATTCATATTCCAGACAGGTAGTAGAAACTCACAGCAGGAACTGAGTCAGGGAGTGGGTTGTGTAGATTGCTAGACAGGAGGTGAGTGAGCCTTGTTCACAGAGGAACAGCAGCTGAGGTACTGATGTACAGAGAAGACAGAAGGGTGGGAGAGTGTTTTTCAATTATCAAAGAAAAAGGAGGGAAAAATGAGCAGGAGGCATGCTCCTGAAAACACACCTTGAGGACCAGAATTCCCTAGGAGGGGAAGGGTTGAACTCCAGGGTGTAGCTAAGGAACTTCCATGTTTCTCTGACTGCTGTGGCCTTCTCCCACAGCCAGCTGCTCACCTAGCCTTGTTGACAGTGTTTGGGCAGCCTTTGAACCCTTGCTATACTTAGCTTGGGTTCCTAGTCGACAAAGACTTCACCAGCAGATTATATGTCTCTTACAACTTCTTTTCCTACTGCAGAGATGCTGCCTGGGAACTTGAACCAGGGGCTTACTCAGAGTTGTATCAGCGCTATCAGCATTGTGATGCCCCCATCTGCCTGTACAAACAAGGCAGAGACAGCTTTGAGAATGAAGGGTAGGGAGAAGTTCCTGGGTAGAAAGCTCTCATCAGTGCCATTTTTGGGTTAGAACTGGGCACAGTTATTAAAGCAAGAAGTCTACTCTTGTCTGTAGCCCTCAAGGTGAATCCAATTTCCAAGACTGGTTCTTGACCAGCCCCTGACTCATTCATGCCTAAGTGGTCAGGTTTCCTTTGCAGAGTCTGCTGCTTGTGCCCAGTGGAGATATACTCAGGGCCAGTTCCTTTCCAAATCCACCATGCCAGGGCCTGTGCCTGTCTGTAGCGGGTCAAAGATCAGCACTCAACATCTCTAAGTCACCGGGTGATATGTATAGTTTTGTAAAAATGCCCAGGAAGCTCTCAGCATGGCTGAGGCTGGACTGTAGCTAACATGCCAGAGTGACAGCATGCTGTGTGTGCCAACATTCCTCCACGGCTCTTCCATAGGCGGTGGTGTCTCATTCTGTGTTCTATGTGTGGATCCCATGGAACCCACAGAGGCTGCTCCTCTCTTAGACCAAACAGAAAGAAATGGGAGTGTGAAGAGTGTTCGCCTGCCTACACATAGGTACAGCCAGAAGGGTGGTCTGGTCTGAGAACTAGGGCGGGGCCGGGGACTTGTCCTGCCTGGGAATGGAGGAAGGCATGTCACAGCGGGACTGTCAGTGGATCCGGTAGCTTTGAAAGGAAAGTGGCTAAGAAGGGTTTTAGGACCCACACCCAGGAAAAACAAAGGGCAGTTTTCCTTCCCACCTTTCTTTCACCACAGATTACATATCTGAAGAGTCAAGTGACACCCCCTGCTGCAGCATTACCTTCCACCCCCGGGAGCATTTCTACAGGCCCACCAACCTGGCAGAGAATCCAAGCTCTTCTTGGACTAACTGGTCTGGATCTTCCCAATTAGAAAATCCTGAGTCCTCTGACTGTAGGAGGAGCCACTCCCAGCAGTTCAAGAGAGTCTGAATCACTAAGGGCTGCAAAAAAAAAAACCAAGTAACAGCTTCAGAGCTGTTGCTGCCAAACACAGTGGCTTATGAAACAGCACTGCAGCATCAGTTGGAGGAAGTAGCTCTTTGGGGCCATGAGACAAGGAAAGGGGGCAGCAGAGATTTAAGAGCCAAGTAAAGACATCTCAGGGGAGGGTGAGAATAACTGAGTCTACAGCGGAGCACATAAGGTACCTCTGTGCTTTCCGCCTCTTCTCTTCCTCTTCCACCATAATCTTGTCCTCACACGCCTCTTCTTTGTCCATTCATTTGTTATTTTGCAAATAAAGGTTTTCTCTCCACTGATGTCTCCTTATAAATTCACTCCAGAGTCTACTAAAGAATCTGGAAGGTAGATTGAGGGAATACGAAAACTCAGCCTTGCCTTCTAATACATAGCATTTTGTCAGTGTAGAACTTTGAACATAGGGCACAGATGTGTTTCTTTGGAAAGGAACTGGCATTCCAGGGGCATAGTATTTTACCCATGTGCAAATGAGTGCACAGGTTCTCCTCAGGGTGAGCCAGCAGAGTAGTCCACACTGGTCTGGGAATTGGCCCTCGTGGCAAGGCTGGGGTCCTTGGACTCAATGCCAGGATTACTGTGCTCGTGTAGGGCAGAAGGGGACTCCCTCCCTCTCGCTAGTGTGGTCTGAGCACACCTCTGTAGCTGGAGTGAACCACTCAAACCCTCACTGCCTGTAATCTCAAGTGGTTTTCTGTATAGAGTGTAGCTATGAATTTGCATACCAGGAGATTCACATTAGGCAAGACAGCTAGGGTGGGAATCTGGCAGAAGACTTGGGAAGAAACCGAATAAAGCCTATCTTACATTTGTATGTTTTTAATGATTTCCAAGGAATTTTGAGTTAGTGGAGGAAACTCAAAACATTGCCACATACTGAATTCCCAGGGTTTCAAGTGAGTCATTTTCACTAATGGTGGAGGACAGTGTTCTTGTTTGAAATGTTGCTGAGTCCTACAGAGTTACATCCAAGATGTAGACAGAAATGCCTTCATATTTGACTAGATGAACTTGAACCCAATGGAGGGTATTACTATTGCTTTGTTTGTATCAAAGTATACAGGCAAAGTAATACACTTTTAAAGGTCAAATCTGGCTAGGAGTGACACTCAGTGGTAGAGCACATTCTCATCATGTGCAAGGCCCTGGCAGGACTCAATCTCCAGCACTCACATACTTATGAAAGTCTAATAGTCCCAAAGGGATTATAATGAAAAACACTCTCAACTCAACCTTCTCTGTTTCCAGTCCTACTTCTCAAAGGCTGTTTCTTGTTTAGTAATCATAGACATTATTGATGTCCCATTGTGCTACACAAGGGTTTGGTGGCGTCAGAAGCTTCCCCTTTTCATTCTCCCCCTCTTAAATAGCTACATTATCATCTTTGTTAACTTTTGACTATTTTAAAAAATATTTTTGATTATCTTGCGTGAATATATTGCCTGCATGTGTGTAAGTGCACCCCTGTCATGCAAAGCCCATAGAGGTCAGAAGAGAGTGTCGGATCCACTGGAACTGGAGTTATCAGCCATGTGGGTGCTGGGATTTGAACCTGGGTCTTCTCCAAGAGCAGCCAGTGCTCTTAACCACTGAGCCATCTCTCCAGCCCAACTTTTGACTTATCATAACTATGTTAGTATGATTTACTATTGAGCCAAAACAATACATTGTTTTTTGAGTTTTCTTTCCTTGAAAATAATAGCTGCCTTTTTTATTTGTTGTGGACCTCTTGCTAAGTCTAGGCAGTAGATCATTATCAGTTGTACTTATGGGGGAAACCTGCCTCCTAGAGTCTAGCCTGAGCTGGCTGTTGAACCGTCCTCCTAGACCCTAGGCCTTCTAAGCAACTATCATCCTAGGGCTTCCCACAACTATACACTATCCCTTCATTTTATGTTTCATAGGTTTGATGACTAAATGCTGTGCTTTTTTTTTTAGACAGTCTTATTCTGCAGCCCAGGCTGACCTGGAACTCACTATGTAGCCTAGACTGGCCTTGAACTTTCAGAAGTCCTAGCTCAGGTTCTCAAGTGCTAGACCTACAGGTCTGAGCCACCATGCCCAGCTTGACTTTAGTTTCTTAACCTAAAATTACTATAGAAGGTATAGTCTGAAGATGAAAGTTAGGGCTCTCCACTCTGAGGATCTGAGGCCCAGTGTTTCAGGAAGGACAGGTCACATGGGTGGAGTATCGTGGGAAATGCAGCTATGCAGGGCCCTATTTGCAAAAGGCTTCAGATGCCAATCCTAAGCAAAAAGCTAGCACGTGTTTTATAGTATCTGGCAGAAGGAAAAAGGGTGGCTGCATCGGTGAAGTGTACACAGAGAACCATACAGACAGAAGGTTCTTGCTGCAGGCCTGTGAGGCACAAGGGTCTGAGCTGAGCACAGGCAATGGCGAGAGGAAGGCAAACATTTGAAACACAGTCAAGTTGACAAGAAAGAAGGTTGATGGCGGGGGCGGGGGTGAAGTCCTGAGGGTTCTGGCTTTAGCTTGTGGCTGCAGTAAAGGTAAGGGTGAGAAGAGGGAGCATTTGCTTTGGAGAATTTCACTGAACATTTATTTCTGTCCTTCATAAGTGAACCATTTGTTCAGATCCTCAATTATGAAAGAACAATTAATTCTAATTGATACATCTATTTTGAAGTAGTAATTAGTTCCAACAGACAATCTGTTAAGAAAGCAGGTATTTAAAATGTATAAGGTAGGTATGGGACATCTTAAAGTGCAGAAATTAAGAAAGTGTCCAAAATTGGGGCTGGAGAGATGGCTCAGCAGTTAAGAGTGCTGACTGCTTTTGCAGAAGACCCAGGTTCGATTCCCAGCACCCACATGGTGGCTAACAACCATCTGTAACTCCAGTTCCAGGGGAATCTGATGCCTTCTTCTGACCTCCAAGGGCATTGCGTGACACGGGTACACTTACATACATGCAGGCAATGCACTCATACACATAAAATAAAAATAATAAATTTTTTAAAGTATCCAAAAATAAAATGATAAAGATGTGTGAAAAGGACAGAGGGTGTTTGCGGGCACGTTGTTCTGCTATTAAACACTAGAGGGCACTGTGAGCATGTCTAGGAAGGAGATTATGAGCACTTAGACCTACTGAGACTGAGAATGGCCTCTAAGAGCTTGCTTCTGTTTGGGGATTGCACTGCAATTAATGCTCCTCACTTGTTCTAAACACATTTGTCAAGTTTATTCGTGAGGGTATTTGTATTAGGCTTACAGATGAGTATGAAAGCTAACAATGGCACTGCTACTCAGGTCAAATCCTCAAGACTGCCCTTAGGGTTCCTCTAGACTCAAAGCGGCCTTCCTAACCCTGGCTGCCTTCCCCGACCACCAAAAATGGTGGCTTCCAGTCCCAAGAGACATGGTTCATTCCTCTTCTGCCCTGCCCTCCTTCCACATGCACACACATGCACATCAAAGAAACATATGCACATGCCTCCCCATGGATACCAGGGTCTCTGGTTGATGGTCCAAAAGCTCCAATCTTGTGGATAGGACAAGCGGCTGCTATGAAAAACAGCACCTCTACTTCTACTGGCCCTGATCCCAGGGACACAGTGTCTGCTCCCCATGTACTCCAGGCTGGCTGGAGGTGATTAACTCACAGCACCATGGAGGTCCTCAGATGAAAGAAGACTCACTAGCAAGTAGGCAAGGAAACCCCATTTTAAAGGCTTAGACTATTTGCAAAGGTCTCAAACCTTGTACAGTTTCCAAAAAGCATCAGAGCAACTAAGACCCTGTCTCAAAAAAACAAAAAAAAATTTAAAGAGCTGATGTTTTACACACATACACACACACACACACACACACACACACACACACACACACCTGCCCTTATTTTTCTTTGGCAAACCCCCTCTAACTTAGGTCTCAGAGCAGTGAGATAACATAAGGCCAGGATGGAGGAGGTAAAGCCTGAGAACCCCTCCCCCTTGATCCCTAACTTCTTGACTCTGCCCTGCATGAATCCCTAGTAAACAGGAAAGCATCCAAGCCATCAGTGTCCATCCATCTGGATGCATCCGAGACCTGTCTGGACCATCAAAGCCATCCCCAGCCATCAGGAGAAGACTGGAGGGGACACCATCCTCAAGGAAATAATCTCCCATTGTTTTCTACCCCTTGAAAATGGTAAATTTGTAAACAGTCCCTTACATTTAGACAGATCCTGCCCTGGCTTTGTGCTGGGGTGTTGTTTTTTCTTCTCTGAACAATGCCCTTTCCAGTAGGACAGCTGTTCACACCATTGTCCAAGACCCTTGCACTACAGGAAACAGCCCCAGATTCTTATCAGCTGAGGCGGGTGGAGGTGGTGCGGACAATGAGATCATGTCCACAAAGCAAGCTGCTGTTCTGACATGCCATTCTTCTACACCTTTATCTGTGAGAGCAGAGCAGCCTTGCCCTCCCAACAGGCCAGTCTGAACTTCGTATCCCTAGTACAGCCCTGTCCATTTGAAGGCAGACACCAGGACTCTACTCCAGGCCTTTGTTGATTCACTCTGGAATCTGCTCATCCACAACTGTCTGCCAGTCATGGTTGTCCCTCTCTGCCCAATGGGCTATTCATGGCAGGAAAATAAATATCATTGATGAATTAGGGTATACCCTGAGCATCTTCCTTCTTGAGCTCCCCATATTAGCAGAGCTCCTGGGAGTAGGTTACCAGCTGATTGCTGGAGGCCTGTGGGAGGAAAGCCCAACATCCCCTTACAAGCCTCCCTGGAGACTTTGCAGCAGTTCCTATCCCCATTGGAGAATGATTGAGGAACTAGAAGTTTCCTTAATGAAACTCCAATGCAGAAAGTGAAAGGCTTCATTACGATGCAGCCTCTAAGGGAAAGGGGTACAGCATGGCCAAGATGGGTGAGACTGGGCAGTGGAAAGTGGGCACCAGGCCACTGCTGCCTTCCCCATCTCCTGTACACAAAAAGGGTGGGTGAGTCCGGAAAGGGAGCCAGGGTGGGGACCCAACAATCCTTTAGCTTCTTATCAGATATTGTGTCCAAATCTGGCCCTGCCCACCCCTTTCCAAGTTTGTAGTCTTAGAAAACCATTAGTTCTTGGTGTGTGTTGAAGTTTCTCCTCCTAGAACCCTCTGCAGCCCAGGGCATGGATGAGGCTAGGGTGGGTGGGTCCTTAGTTCAGAGGGAAACTGGATTATTTCTGAGCAACAATCTCTTAGTTTTAAGAAGATAGAGCTATGCAGAGACGTCTCCATTTTCTGGGCTGACAGAGGCATTGTGAGCTGGGTCCTACCTAGAGCCAGGCCCTTGCCAGCTTACAGGGAAGACAGCTTAGGAGGAGACAGGATAGGCTGGTAGCTGCTACACGCCTACCCCTCAAGACACCTTGGGGTGTCTAGGATCTGATCCAAGCTTAGCTAAATGAAATAGAAGCGCAGAAGTCATTTGGAAAAATGAAAAGTGTGTTCTCCTCTCATATTCTGAGGCCTCCTTGCTCCCTGAAGTTACTCTGTTCACTTTCAGGAGGGCCACCGGATTAGGGTAAATCTTAGCCATCCTTTCCCTCCACACAGACAGATGACTCCATGCTAGACACTGCAGCGGCCACACAAGGAGACTGAGAAAGCAGACTGAGTGTAGGAGGATGGGAGCCAGAGCCAGGAAAGACCCCAGGCCCAAGTGTCAGTAGATTGATGCCTTGGCAGCCCTATCCTTGATGAAGAACATAGGAAACAGAAATTGGCTGACATCTGGAAGTCAGAACTTCCAGTGTTAACAAGCCTGGGAGGAAAAGATTAACAAATTAATCTCATGTTAAGGGAAAGAATCAATCTAATCAGCACTTTTCCAAAGCAAGCTCTTCAGAACATTAGAAACAAGATGTCAGCTGCCCCATGAAAGCAAAAATAAGAGACAAAGGACAAAATGTTCTGGAGAATCAAGGAGGCCATACTAGGCATGAGATAAGTGAGAGACCATCACAGGAGTCCTCAAGGCCTTTCTTTACAGGGCAAGTAAAGGACTGAGGCAGCCATGAGCACAGAAACCTAGACTCTGACAGACCATGAAGATCAGGAGGTCATGGAGGCTCTCCTGAGATTATCGGCTCACAGAACACCATTTTGCAAACATTTGACAAGTCTCTTTGTTCTAAGCCCCTTCCCAGCTCTAAATCTGTTTGGGTAATCATGAACCAGAGGCCCAGAGACCAACGGAAGCATGAGATTTAGAGGAAAAAGCTGCCAGAGGAAGTTAGAGAGAAGGCAAAAATACTGAGGTCAGAAATAGGGCTTGAGCTGAGAAGTGAGGGGGAGGGGAGGTGGGAGAGAGCTTTGGGAATGTGGATAGCAGTAAGGCAACGACAGCTGGGAACAGAGGCTGCCCAAGAGTGGAGGGGGCTGTGGAGGTCACATTTGCGCTCCTTGCCAGGCCAGTAAGTACAGTGGTAATACCTCTCAGTCAGTGGTGATGATGGCTTGGGGTGGGGTTCAATCAGGCCTGGGTGTTTATTGAGGGGACCTAGGGCAAAAGGAGGAACCTGGCCCCAGAACCAAGCTATGAGACCAATGCCTGACTTGTGTTAAGCTCTCAAGTAATCTATGCAAGCTCAGAGACCAGGGCCACATTCTGGGGAGGTAGACTGACATCTCTCGGCCTTTGAAATGCTCCTGTGTTGTTTTTTTTTTTTTTTTTTCATCTCCCTCCAACATCAATGTTTTGTTGGAGACCAGGGCCACATGCTGGGGAGGTAGGCGGGAACCTCTCCGCTTTTTAAATGCTCCTGTTTTTTTTTTTTTTTTTTTTTCATCTCCCTCCAACATCAATTGACTCCACTCTTTGGGCATGATGTCACTGGGGACCATGGTCAGAAGATCTTCCAATCATACCCAGTAGCTCACTGTCAGGACCACCCCTCCTCCCCAGAAGCTACAGCCCAGGCGAGGCATGATCTCAGTGGCCTTAATGTACATTGATATGAAGACAACATCAGGCTAAGTGGCACTGTTACAAATGTCAAGTGCAGTGAAAAGGGAACAGAGCTGCCTACTTGCTTGGCTGCCCTTTGCCAGCTTCTGCCCCCTCATAATCCTTCTAAAGTTCCAAGAAGGTCAGTTCTACAAGCCCTCAGGACAGGATTTTGCTAATTTATTGAGCAGTCTCAGCTTCATAGGCAAAGCCCTTTGTCTCCTTCCTTCCCCTGCTACCCATCGCCCTCTCTGCTACATGAAAGAAGGGTGACCTCATTTCAGGGAACACAAAGTGCAGACTCTTCCTTTCCAGTTCATGTAACTAGCACCCATCCATTTAGTACAGAAATACATAGACACAGTCATGATATAATTATGTGATATAAATACTAACTTCATCCCTTTCCTTGTTGGCTGTTTCCTCACCAGAGCTCCAAGACAGTCAAAACAAATATCAATACAATTTCAAGAAGTATGATTAGAAGACAGAGAAGACACTAGGCCAATGTCAAAACACTAACACAAATACAATTCACAAATCAGGGTATTTCCAGGAGCTAATAACACAGTACCTACCATGGGGGAGGGTGGCAGTCGGCAGGAGCTGTCCCTATTTTCCCAAGTGTAGGGTACATTGTTCAAGATCATGAGTTCTTTCTCTCTGTTTTCCAGGGCCGCTTTCCCAGAGGACTCTACCTAGAGCTTGCCAAACCCAGGCCCAGTCCAAAGGCCACTGAGGACTGTGCCGGCATTTTCAGCTTCCCCGGGTCTCTTCCATCCCCTTCATCTTCTATCTCCACTTCCTCTCTTTCCTGCAGCTCCCACCCACTGCTTCCACCAGCCATTATCCCAATGGACCCCATCCCCAGGCAGAAGGATTCTCCAGGTTTGGATTGGTGGATTTCAGTGCTTCTGTCTGCCAGATGATTAGCATGGAGAAGGGGTACTATTTCAGATCCTAGTACTCTGGGGGTGCCAGGGTAGAGGAAATAAACCCAAAGCCCTTAGGTCTGAGTTTCAGTGACACAAGAAGCCCTGTCTTGCTTTTTGTTTCCCTCCTTCTTTCCTTTCTCATCTTGGTTTTTCAAAGGAGGGAATCTCAAACTTGCCCTCTTGTCCATCTTGTGCGTCACTAACTTGTTCAGCCGCAGGCTGGGAACAACTTTTCATTTAATTGTCCTCCTCCCCCTCTCTGTTCCCCAGCTGGAGAGACTGCTGATGGCAGAAACACCTCCCCTACAGTCCAGGTCAAATGTATCCTTGTCAACTCAGCCTCCCTCTCAAGGACAGTAGGATTTACCATTTTTATCAGCTTTCTTCTCTACTTTTGTCCAATAAAAGAAAAAAAGAGGGCTGGGATATAACTCAGTGGTACAGCACTTATCTAACATTCAAAAGACCCTTGGTTCAATCCCAAGTACCACAAAAAAGGGATCTGGCAAATGAACCATCATGCCCAACCTTTGTATAAGCAGAAAATAGAGATTCTAGGGTTAGGAACATCTGGCCTGCCCAGTGTCTCCTGAACTAATTGATGCCACCTTGATTCTTGAGGATACCTGCTCATGGGTCCATGGCCCTATCTCTGCAGTTTCCTGTGGCCCTGGACAAAGCCCTGGATGCTGATCCTGACTACTGAACACAGTTCTCCGAGTGCCCATACCCCTACCCTCAAAAAGTTGGGGATACCTCTCTTGCTTTGGGAAAGGCAGCCCACACCTCACACTCCCATCTTCCAGCTGCCTTCTTTCTCTCTGGTCTAGACCTTCTCCTGGTCCTCAACAAGAGAGACCCTGATGCTGAGGTGTGGGTACCATAGCAAGCCTGGCCTGACAGTTTGGGACCTGAGGAAGGTGTGTCAGTCTGTAAGACAACTTTCCTGGTTTATAAAGTGAGCCAGTCGACCCCTTGGTCCCAGAAAACCCTGCCTCTATAAGTCTAAGATGCAGAAGAAGTGGTGAGTCAAGGCAGGGAAACATCTAGCTACCAGAGCATGAAGGCAGGTAAGTATTGCTGTGCCACCTTCTCAACTCAACCTTCTCTCCCATCTCTGTTAGGGCAGCCTCTTCTTAGCAGGCGCCAGATTAGGAGGCTACTTTCCCCTCCTCTGGTGGCCTGAGAGTTCCTGCCCACATACCTCCTTAGAGTCACCCACACACCCACTCAGAGGGTCACTCAGAATGGCCATTGTTCTGCAAGCTGGGAAAGAACCACCCAACCCTCTTGCCTCTGGGCACAACTGGAAATGTGCTCCGGAAGCCAGGCCATCCCAGAGAACAAATAGCAGATCCCTTGGGGTTGCAAGTGGTCAGAGGGTGCCAGCTCCAGCATGGGACTGAGAGCTCAGTGAAGGGCAGGAACAGGCTTAGGCACAAGGCCCCTCCCAAAGACCCCCAGTCTTTCCTATAGGTGGTAGAGATTTTCATCTCTAAGAGGTTATCAGGAGCCCTGGCCCCCTCTGCCCTACCTGGGTGGGAGGGATATGCTGTTGAGGTCCCCAGCCCAGCCTGACTACCCCCTCCTCAGTCCTCTTCTATGTGGCCTCCACCTCTCGGGGCGTCCGATTGTGCTCAGCCAGCACCCGGCTCTTTACCTTCTTGCCCAGGTCCAGCCCTGCCCAGTTCTTGCTTTTAGCCTGCTTTCCCCTGCTCCAGAAGGATCCTGAGCGCTCCCCTATGCCCCTGCACCACACACGCTCACAGTACTCATCCACCCGGGGCAGGTTGGCAAAACCAATGAGCTGCAGAATGTCCTTATACCAAGCCTTGGGTGAGGCAGGGGCCAGACCTCTCCAGGCGGAGGGCTCCTCCAGCCTAAGCTCCCGAGGAAACAGGCTATCCAGTTGTGTTGCCACAATCACCTCAAGGGCCAGACGGACCACAGTCTGGGAGAAGCCATGCTCTAGCGTGGTGCAGGTGTAGGTTCCCGCATCAAGGCGGCTGAGCGTGCGGAACAGCAGTCCTTGCTCTGTTTGCACCACTCGCTCATCTGTCTTCACCTGCAAGGAGGGTGGGAGGGCACAGCAGATATAAGCAATGAGTGGGGCAGGATATCCACCTCAGCCTCTTTGCTCTGCTCTTCCACATTTGCCATTCTCAGGGCCCAAAGCTTAGGCACTTCCCTTTGCCTATTCTCCCCTTCACAAGGGAGATGGCTAGCAGCTTGTCAGGCTCTCAGTACAGACCATGAGCTAACTGCAGACATTCCCTCACCTTCCCACAGCCCAGAACAAGGGCCTGTGAAGGAGGCTTTTCAAAGACTGAATGACCATCATGTCCCAGGTCAGAGCCCTAGAGAACTAGCTTCAAAGAGCCCTGCACATATACCCAGAGAGTAGAGGGACTCCACCTGTGCATGCCTACAGGTTTTTCTGAGCTAAGGAATACTTCCTCCACTCCACACAAACACACAGATACACACGTTCATACATATGAATCAGTCACACTGGGCCTTCTCTGTCTTGGTCTGCCCTGTTCATTCCCTGACAGTGCAGGGCCCACAGCCTGAGCCTGGCGTGGGCTAAGTGCCCACTTGAGTGTGGGAGGCAAGAATGGGCTCTGAGCCCAAGCTTTCCCGCTAACCCTGTGTTCAGTCTGTGTTTCTGAGTGCTGAGGGTGAACTGCTTGGGTGGTTAGCATTGTGTAACTTCATCTTGCTGTTCCCCTACCCTAGGGAGTTTCCTCAGTGCCCAGCCCAACAGCTGGTCCAGGCTTGCCTCCCCCAGTTCCCAAGCTAAAGGGAGAGCCCCTCCTCTTCAATCAACCACCCCTCTTTTTTCCCCTCCCCTGTGGGAGAACCATTCTTCATTCTGCTCAGCCCACACTCAGCATCACAACCCCAGACTGAAGCCATCTTGGGAACTGACAAATCTTCCTAGGTGGGGGAGGAGAGGACCTTGGCAGGCAACTGGCCTCCGAGGAGGAAGTGCAGGGCCAGGAATGGGAAGCTGTAAAGTGGTCCAGGACCCAGGCTTGGACTCTAAAGGAAGCCTTGGGGAAGAGACCCTTTCAAAGTTGAGCCACATGTGTAAGCACGGGGACTTCCAGACTAACCTAGACCCCCATTTCCTCTCTCTGACCCTCTGCTGTCTACCTCTAGACTGGGGGAGCTCCAGCCACATCCAGATGGGTATTATCAGAGGCAGAAATAGGGGAAGATCCTCATTGGTACCCCAGGGCCTAACACACTTTCCTGTGGATAATCTTAGGCAGTTCCTTCCCCTCCCCAGAGTCCCTTTCTAGAGTTCAAGTTTTGGGGTTCAGGAGGGAGGTAGGTCTGAAAGCAGAGTCTTCACTCACCTGGTCAGGCCCCTCATCCCCTGGCCTCTGTAAGAACCACCGCACAGCAGCCTGGGGAGACTTGGGTAGGCACTCAAGGAAGGTACTGTTGTGTTCTGTGCCAAAGACTCTGGTGGCCACCAGTCCTGAAGCCTCTTCTGTAGAGGGGGTCAGGTGAGATCAGCTTGGTAACTAGGGGATCCAGGCATTGATGGCCATCAACCAACTCCCACAGGACACCAGTGTGATGAGGACTCAGGCATCCATCAATCCCAAGCCAATCTCAGTGCTAGAAGATCCTGCCCCAATACCCCTAGTATAGCTACAGATAGGGAGACTGAGGACTTTGTTACAACAAGACCAGTCTAAGGCCATGCTTCCCAGAGATGGAGCCCCATCCACAAGGTGAGCAAGGGCCCTCCTAGGGAACCACATCCCCTGCCCACCACTCACTGTCTTGGTTCTGGTTCTGGCCCGGGCACTGGACAACAGGGTTGCCATGACGGATATCCTGGCGACGGAAGCGACGCTTGCCCAAGCTGGGGCGGTAGCGGGTACAGGAGGCACCATCCCAGGCACAGTATGGGTCCCGGGCCAGGCAACACTCAGCACAGGCACTGCCGTAAGTCTCACACTGGTGCAGCTGCAGCCTGGCCACACCCAGAGGAGAGCCTACATACAATGTTTGCTGAGGAAGGGACACAGGTAGAGACCACAGTGAGCTGGGTTTCACCAAGGAACAACCGGACCCTCAAATCCACCAGGGTTTTCTGAGAGACTCCTGCCAGTTTCAGGAAGTCTTTCAGAACATCTTGGATTCATTCACAAAAATAGAGATGCTAAATGCAAACTTCCTGTATTCTAGGTCCTGTAAGTAGGTGGGGTGGACCTGGGATCTTTTCTCGAAGAGACTTCTTCAGGCCTGCCTTGCTGTCAACCTTTGCACTCTTTCCTGATGGCCTTTGTGTGACTAGACTCTGACTTTAGAGGTACATCTTATAGGCATGTCCAACCTTTTGACATTGTGACATGACATTGTCATCTACAGAGTTCAAGCAGTCCAGATACCAAAAACAAATTGGGGGAAAAAAAACCCAAAAAACCTTGTAATGTATTGCATTAGTTTAAGAACTTGGCCACATCATAGCTCTCCTCAGCCACATGTAACCAGTGTGCCAAAAATTGGACATACCTGCACATACCTGCAGTAATCCCAGTATAAAAGTTGATATTTCAACCAGCAAGATCTTAGCAAATAAAGGGACTTGCCACCTAGTCTGACAATCTGAGTTTCCTCCCCAGGTCTCACATGGTAAAGGAGAAAACCAATTCCTGAAAGTTGTTCTCTGACTTCCACACTCCTTCGCCAAGAGAACTCTTGGGGACTTGGAGACTCAACCCCTTTGTCACTGCAAAATGAGCCTGGCAAGGCTTTGTCAAAATAAATAGACGCAATGTAATACTTTTTTAAAGTTGGGGTTTACCAGGGGCTTGGGAGACAGCTCAGCCAATAAAGCGCTTGAGCATTAGGACCTGAGTTCAATCCCCAGACCCTATTAAAAGAAGCAGGATATGGTGGTTCCCACTTGTAATTCCAATGCTGAGGAGGCAAGGACAGGTGACTCCCTGGGGCTTGCTGCCCAGCCACCCTTGTCTAATTGGCAAGCTACATGCCAATGAGACACTCTGCCCCCCCCCTAAAAAAAAAGTTGGACAGCACCTGAGGATTGACACCTGAGGTTATCCTTTGGCCTCCACATGCACACACAATAATAACAATAATATAAACAAAACTTTAAGTTGGAATTTACCTAGAGATAAATTGGGACAGAATATTTGCAATTGATTAAGGGCACATAGCAGACCTCTAAAAAGCAGTTACACTGTTTGATTAGAAATCTGGATTTTATTTCCAAGCCCATTTGCCTCCCTTAGAGAACTCCCCTGGGAGCCTCTGTGACTGTCTCTATCTGAACATAGCCCCCCGCCCCACAGCTATGCTTCCTGCTGGACTTGGCCTTAGCCACAGAGCTTAATCAGGTCTGCTAGGCCTAGCTTACTGGCCAGTAGGCTCCAACATTCAAGATTAGGAGAGTGGATAGAAGAGAGGGCCAGTTCTTACCCTTTTGACAGAGATCTCCATCTCAGTGACGGGTGTTGGTACCTGGAGAAGAATTGGGGTCTAAGCATGGGTAGGTAGGAGGAGGCTCTCCACAGCATCCCTGATTTCAGCCTTCTCCAACTCCTGGATAGGAGCTGTTGTCTCCCAGTCTGTGGCCCTTGGCAACAAGGCTAGAGCTGGGAAAAGTGATATGCCTGTAATCTCAGCACTCGAGCAGCCGAGGCAGGAAGATGAGGGGATCAAAGCCAGCCTGCTTTATGCATAAGTTCCAAGCCAGGCTAAGCCACATAGAGAGACAGAGTCTCAAAAATACAAACAAACCGAAAAAGGCTGGAAAATCTTTCCCAGACATTGGGTTACCAGAAAGGTCCCTTCATCATGGCTGGCCTCCAAGTGGGAGGGTCCCCTCTCACAGTGTTCCCTAGCAATGAGCCAGCTGCCCTAAATCATTTGTGTCATATCCAGAGGCACAATAGTCTTGCAAACACAGACAATGGAGTGGTGAGCAAGAGAACTCTTGGGGACTTGGAGTCTCAGCCACTTCATTACTGCAGGGCTTTACCAAAAGTGCTCACCTTGGCTATCAATCCCAAGGGATCCCCAGGCATTTTTGAGTCTGCAATCTGCCATTCCAGGTCCCCTAGTCATTCAGAAGCATCCCAGGGCCTCCTCAGCAGTGTGTATAGTTTGAGCCTCCCCCCTGGGCTCACTTCCTTGGAACCAACCCAAGGCCCAAGGGTGGGCAGTGGGGCCTCTCAGTAGCCCCTGCTAACCTTAAACACCTGGAGCTCTTCCAGAACCACCTCTTCAGGCTCAGCTAAACTCCCTGCCTGGAGGGCAATGACTTTGAGCACAGAACCCGAGTCTGGAGCAGGGGAGCAAGAGTTAGTGGGACAAGGAAGAAGGAGCTATGTCACCCTGTCACCACCCCCTCCAGCCTGGCTACCTCTGTTCAGTCCTCCTACCAGTCCCTAGGAAGATGACATCATAGGTTCCATCCTCAGCCTCCACACGGTCCACCACTATCTGACGCAGCTGCTGGGCCAAATGAGTCTTGACCAGGACAGGACGGCCATGCCGAGGCCTCACAGGGTGGAACATGAGTGGGTGGGCTCGGACAAACTGCAGCACCTCATCTGGGTAGTCCTTAGTGCTGCCAAAGGGTCGTCCTGGCTGTGCGGTCATCTTGCTAGGGCACTGCAGGCAACAGCAAAGGGAGCCCTTGAAGTCCTTGGTATGGTACTACCCAGCCTCTTTCCACCTCCAGGGGGCCACACACATAGGAGAGGATCTCTCCTCTTCCATCATACCCATCCAACCAGACCCTCTTAGAGCCCCAGCCTATTACTGCTGTGGGCTTCATGTAAACCTGGAGCTAGTCTATGGAGGAGCCCCCCTGGCATCTGCTTAGGCCTCCTTTGCCTGGCTGCTACTCACCACACCAGGGCGGGGGAAGGGCACCTTGCCCCCATAGGGTCCCCACTGGTGCTGAGGGCCATCCCGGTGAGCAAAAGGACCATTGAAGACCTCCCAAATGTCCGTCATGTGGTACACACAGACAGCAAATCCCTGGAACACAGCACTGCCAAGGGTAGACAGGGATGGTCAGGCTGAGGTAGCTGTCATAGGCAGGGAGGGTCAAGCTGGTTCCACAGCTGATATAGAAGGTGACAGTGCCTGCTGCAAGTAGAGACTGGAATACAAAGACACTGAGGCAGAGACAAGACAGAAGCAGAGACGATAGTCACAGAGTCACTGAGCCAGGGAGAAAGGCAAGCGCCCATGGAGAAGCTGTGGCATGAAGGCAGAGGCTCAACAGAGAGGCCAGGGGTACAGAGACCAGGCTGGGATGGTGGGGTAGCATGGTGCAGGGAAGTGTGTGCTCACCTTATGGTGCTGAACAGTGCATACACCTCGAGGTTCTTCCCTGTCTTGGGCCACAGTAGGAACACGTCCTCTGGGACAGAAGGGGCAGAAGTATTACAGTTACTGCCAGTGCTTTAACTCACCAGCTCTGTGTAGCCCCCATTCCCAGCACCCAGGCCTAGCTGGCCATGCTCCTACCCAGCTGGTCAAAGTAGGTCTCAGCACCCCCAGGTCCGGGCACAGAGCAGACCAGCCTGGCCTTGAGGAAGGTGCTCCATTTGTTCACCAGCACACGCTGGCCACCAGCATCATTCTAGGGGATGAGAGGTTGAAGTCAGCTTTGAGGTCCATGAGGATGGACCCCACCTCCTGCTCCTCCACCTTCACCCATGGGAAAAGCTATAGATATCAATTCTGCATCCTTGCCTCAGTTTCTCTACTATGGGGGACACAGACTAGGAAAGGGGTCAAAGCAGTGGTCTTGAACCTCATTACCCCTCCACAGCTCTCACCACACAGACACGGCCCACACGGCTGATGGTAACATGGCCTGGGCTACCATCTGGTGACGGGATAGTCTCGGAGAAGAAGAAGTATACTTTGTCATCATCTTGGTCGGAGTTGTCAGGGATCCGTGCGGCCATCACAAACCGGGGGTCTGGGAGGGTTATAGGGTGATGATGCTGTGGCAGGGGTCATGGGGAACCATGGACTCAAAGGAGGGAGGAAGCTACATTGCAACCCTGGGGGTGGGGGCCGGAGTTCCAGGGATTGCTGTGGCCCCTCTATCCTGTGCCCCACTCTAGCATCTATCTCCTCTCTTTCCAGTTTCATGGACTGGTCCCAATCAGCATGCCCTCAGGGGGCCTTACCGTGCAGAAGGCTCTGGTCAGAATCAGAACGTAGGGCTGGTCGGAGACTCCCACTCCGGAAAATCATGGCCTCTCGCCCCAGGAAATCAGCAGTGAGGCCTGTGTACAGTTCCCCACCTGGAAAGCACCAGAGTCAGGGGAGAGGGCAGTCGGTCCTTTCCCAGTGCCATAGACCAACTCCCACCCTCCCGTCCCACCCTGGCCTAGGATCACCCACCTACAAAGATACTGGCAAAGGGACGGCTTGGCTCATGTGGGCATCGCCCCCTTCCATTTTCCACTCGGCTGGGCTCCAGGTGGAGCACATGCTAGGGGGAGGAAAGGGGCAAGGAAGGGTGTCATCTGAGAAAGAAGCAGAGCCCCCTCCCAGGCAGTGGCCCTCTCGTGCAGCTGGAAAGTGGGTGTGGGAGTGGAAGACGTCTCATTCGGGGCCTCTCTGATGGGGTCAGCAGCCTGGCACAAAGGTGCCTTTCACGCCCCTGCCCCCCTCTGTCTTCCCTTGGTTCAATGGGAAGTGTTCAGATAGCAGGGAGAAAACATCACTGCTTCCCAGTCCCATGAGCCCAGCCCAGGCTTACCTCCCCACGATGCCCCACAGTGATGAGGGTGCAGATGGGCTGGAAGGCCCCAGTACCACAGGCCAGCAGGTGAGTCCGGTTGTGGGGTTGCAACACCCGCACGAAGTTGGCACATTCCGTCTACAGGAGAAGGAGGGGGTTCAAGAGTGAGAGGGGGAAGCCACCATCTCCTTGGGACCCAAGGCTCAGCCCTGACTGGAAGATGGGCTCTGGGCATGTTGATAGGGATCACATTCTTCCCTGACCTCCATAAGCACTCAGGATCTGCTCCAAATGCCTCGAGCAGAGGCACCTGTGGCCACAGGCCATCCTGAAAACCAAGGCCTGGTGGAGTGGGGTTGGATAATGGTCCTTGCCAGTTGTACTCACCAAACGATCTCTCCCCTTTCGGACACATTCCTCCCTCTGTCCTGGTTGTGGTGGCCACAGGACCTGAAACACAGCCAGTGACCTCAGGAACTCCTCTAAATCTACACTCTCAGTTTCCCCAACTAGCCTCCTCTCTGGAGGCGTCCAGCTCTCCCCCATCAGTCCAGCTCACCTCCCGGGGGTCTGGCCATGCCTGATCCAGCCTGAGAGAGTAGAGGGCATCACAGCTTCCCAGAAAGAGGCGGTCTCGATACTCATCCAGGTACATGGCCTGAAGGTCCAGAAAGCCCCTGGAGCCCAGAAAGATGGCAGAACGGTTGGCAGACAGAAGGTCTAGGAGAAAGCAAAGGAGGTATTTCAGGGCCTGCTACTCAGCCTACTTCCCCAGACAAAGAGTGGGAATGGAGGGCCCCAGATATGCATTCACCAGATATGCACATCTGGAAAATGTTGCCATCCACAAGACTGCTGTATGGTTTCTGAGCCATGGTTCTTGGGGCACAGGAGATTCTGAGCCCCCGCCAGCTCAGCTGTCTCTGGGGCCTGCCTTCTAGTCTTCCATTCTTTTCTTTTTTCATCTTGTTTGTTTATTTTTTATGGTCCTGGAGGTTGAACCTAGGGCCACTCTCATGCTCAGCAAGTATTTTGCGACCAAGCTGCATTCCCAGCCTCCCACCTTCACTCTTCAGCTCCTTGATCTTTCAGCTGACAACTTCCCACTATCCTATCCTATCCCTTGCCAAGTCCCCAGGGAAGATGGCCCCACTGACAGAAATTATATCAGCAAGCCTGGCAAAGAGCTTAGAGAACCAGGTGGGTGAGTGTGAGCAGTAAGAAGACTGACTCCACTGGGAAGGCAGATAAGCCAAGGAGAGTTATCAGCAGAGGAAATACCTAGCAAGGGCCTAGGCACAGGGCAGACCAGGCACAGACAGGTGGAGTTCCAGCCTCCAGCTCAGAGTTGTGGGCAAAGAATATTTTCTGCCTTATAGTGCTGCCCATTTAGATGACCCCAGAAATGGAAGGATCACGGACTCCAAGAGTTGTGAATCTCAGTATAGCTCTTTGAGTCTGGCTGGGGAGATGGAAAGGATGGGTCAGCAAAGGACTAGTAGTGGGATTCGGTGAGAAGAGGACGCCTGCAACCCTCGGGAAGGCCCAAAGCACCCCTTTCCTATAGAGCCCCTCAACTGCTCTATTCGATCCCCAGACTCATTGGTGACATTTTCAGCAAGCCCTCCTTGACTGATAGATCCTGAAACTTTCCCATTGAATGCCTTTTCTAGTAGCCTGATCTACCCTCAAAGCTACAGTTCCCAAGACAAGGATTCCTTTTCCCCTTAGACTGTCCAGTGTGGAGCAGTGTCTCCCCTTAGTCTCCATAGCAAGCTTGCATCTTCCCCTTCTAACAGATTCCCAGAGGAAGGTGATTCTTTTCCCTAAGAAGAATCAGCAGGGCTGATGAAAAGGCTCAGTGAGTAAAGCCTGACAACCTGAGTTCAATCCCTGAGGAAAGAGAGCTGACTCCTGCAAATTGTTTTCTGACCCACACATAACACACTGTGGCACACATGCACATGCACACAAATATAAATTAATAAATAATATAATATAATAATAAATTTTAAAAAGAACAATCTGTAATGAAGCCTGGGTCTCAAGCATTTATCCCCTTGGCCCATCAGAAGCAGCACTACATAGCTACATTAGAAGAGAGGACCATCCCTCCTGACATACACACTCAGCATGCCAGAGGGACACAGAGATGCTCCCTGGGCTACAGATGGAGAGGATCTGATAAAGTGAACTTGGGAGAGTAGGCTTCATGAGGTGAGAAAGGCTCCTCCCCTCTCTGTGGCTCAGGACTAGAGGGACAAGCTCCTGCCCACTCCCTCACTGTCTGCTGGACCTGCTCTCTCTGTCCCCTTTCCCTTGTCCAGTCCCTCTGTCCCTCTCCCATTTCTGTGTTCCACCCATACTGAGATCTCTGAGTTTCCACCTCCCTCCCTCCCTTCTCAGCAGTCCCCTCAGCTTTCCTTCTCGCATCTGCCTCCCACCTGTACTCTGACCATGGTTTCCAGGATACGTCTACCTTTCCAGACCACAGTCATCCCCAGCACCATCCAGAGTCTGACCAGGAAATCTTTCCCAAGAGATGTGCACTCTTGCTGCTGCAGGCGGACTGAGCGATGTCCTAGAGCCCCAGACATTCACGGACATTCACAGACATGCACACAGACAGGGCAGCACTGGTCAGTACCTCTGTAGGAGAGCCGCAGGCGAGGCACACTGGGGCTGGGACCAGGGCTGGGGCTGCCCCCATGGAGCAGGAGGCTCCCCAGGAGGCAGCACATGGCCCAAGCTAAGGGAGCCATGCTGGGGAGCGGGAGCTGCCCTCTGTCCGGCAGCTGGCTGCAGTTTGCTGTTGCTACAGGCCAGCCACTTATAAGGCAGCAGCTCCACCCCGTGCTGGGCGGGAAGGCAGGAAGAAGGAGGGAAGGAGGGGAGGGGCTCCAAGCCTGCCATCCACCTGCAGTTTCTCCAGCCACCTCAACTGGCCCACTTAATGTCTATACAGCAAACTGGCATGTTTCCCTTTGGGGAGACTCTCAGCTGCAATGTGGGCAGTTTGCATGGAGGGACACTCACAAATGCAAATCTCCAGGCTCCAGCAAAGTGGCAAAGAGGAGATACCCTGGAAAGGACTTCAGTAATCAGGGTGGGGCTCTGGTTTTGCTCCCTTTGTCTCCAGTGTCCAAAGCAGAGATATCCCTGCCACTAGTCCTGGGCCAGCCATGTAGCCTTGAGCAGGCTTCCCAGCTCCACTGGTAGGAACTAAGCTGCTGGGGGTAGAGGGCCCATTTCCAGCCCAAGGAACTCCATATCCTGGCAGAGGTATATGGTCTGATCATACTTCATAGGTCTGGGACTGGCAAGAAATGAGTGCCTAGGATTTTGTACCCAGATTTACTCCTGTCTGGTCTCCAGGTCCCACAGCCCCTCCCAAATTCACCAGACTCTGTCTTAAGGGCCAGGGTCTACCTCACACCCAGGGGAACTTCCATTGTCCTGCTTCCCTCAGGCTCCAGTCTTTCAAAGGCCTAGAGCACAGTGGGTCAGCAGTGAGTTCCTCCCAAGCTCATAGTCCCTACACATCATGGTCTTGCCAGATTGCACTCTTCTGCTCTGAATGCTGGAGGTAAGTGGGACAGGGGACATGGAAGGGAGCCAAGGGGGAAATGAGACTGAGGGGCTGAATCTGGGTAAGTGAGAACCTCTACACACCCCAATCTCAGAGCAGTTCCTGTCCCTACCACCCCCAGCTTCCACTTCACTCTACCCTGTACCCGCTCCCCCAGAATCCAAGGCTCTGGGCACTAAGATTCCAATGCAGAGTCAAAGTTAGAGTTCCCAGAATTCTAGAAACACCTGCAAGGGTGGGCCTCCCAGATGGACTGACCTGAGCCCTCAGAAGGCTGCTCAGAGAGGGAAGGACTTGATCCAGGCCACACAGAAGGTGGCGAACAGGCCCAGCTCAGCCTCGGGATCTTCTTTTACTTCTGGAGCTCCCAATCTCTGGAGGGGAAACCAGTTGGCTCTTGGCTCAGTATGAGAAGGACCCAGACCTACAACTATGTTTCCTTATCCCTTTGGTCCCCATAACATTCATGTAGGCGACCCCTCACCTGGAAGCACAAAGAGACCAGCCACTAGCCCCTCCCACTCCTGCCTCTGGTTCTGCTAGAGAACCCTGGCCAAGGCCCTTTGTTCCTGGGTTTGTCTTCTCTTCAGGGCAAGGACCTTTAGATATGACAGGGCTTTCTAAACTTAAGAATGATGCCTGAGCAAGGGCTGCTATGGTGATGACTCTATCCTGGGACCCTGGTAGGGCAAAGACCCTCTGCATCCCCTTCTCTAGGGAGACATTTTGGTACCTAACCCAGGCTGAGGGCCAATGTCTTGCATGAGATTGTGCTGGACAGCCTTCAGTCAGCATGTGGCCACCAGTTGTGAGTGTGGGCAGAAGGCCCAACCACTCCTCACCTTGCCATCCTAAGGGTCACAGCTAGTCCCCAGCTAAGGCTCCAGGGAGCCCGTGCCTACTGGGACAAGTGTGTCCAGGCTGGGGAGAGGCAACCCACTCCACAGTGCAGAAAGAACCTGTGACAGAAAATGGAGGCCATGAACTCATGTGCAGCCTCAGTCAAGTTTCCCTCCTTCCTTCCCTCCCTCTCCCTCTGTCCCTTCCTCCCTCCCTCCTTCTTTTCCTCCTTCCCTTCCTCTCTCTCTCTCTTTCTCCATCAACTTTTCAGTCTACAGAGTGTAATATGGATCTTTCCTAAAGGACCTGCCTACCTGCCTGCCTGCCTGCTAGCTGTAACCCAAAGGAGCCCTGAAGGCTCAGATCAGTGGGCCAGGCACAGACACTCTGTGCCATCTACTGGATAAAAAGAGAACTGCAAGATAGAGAAAAGCTGGTGGTTTGGCTCTGTGCAGGGTAGCAAGTCTACTCCATGGAAGCCATGGCTGCTTAAGAAGATGGGCAGGGATCACAATACAAAAAACAAGAGCAATGGGAGATGCTCCAGTGATTGCTTCTAATGGGACAGCTAGAAGGTAAACCACTTCCAACAGAGGTTACTATTGCTTATCCCATGATATAAAAATGCCTACAGTGGGAATGGGAAGCCAGTTCAGCCACTGGAAACTCATCCATGGAGAGAAAGGTCAATCAGGAACTCCAGCTGACTATCTCAATTTTCCCAGTTGGTTTCTACTAGCTGTTCTGGGTGGCCAATTTGATGACGTGATCTCTATCTCACTTGGAAGCCTCACCCAAGGTGGCACTGTATGCCACCCAGGACTCTCTGGACTTGCCTAAACAGGGATTCCCCACTGGATTTCTGCTGGATGTTTGTTAGCATCCCCCCACCCCCATTTGACAATGTTACCTTTGTTTGCCCTCTCAACTGGGCTACTCCAACCGTGTCTGCTGGATGTTTCCTGCACCTGAGTTGATGACATTTTGTTCTCTATCTTCTGCTTCTCACTATCTGCAGCAACTTACAACTCTATTCTTTCTTGAGACAGGGTCTCCCTGTATCCCCAGCTGGCCTAGAACTCCCTATGCAGACCAGGCTGGCCTAGTTCTCACAGAGATTCGCCTCCCTCTTCCTCTCAAGTGCTGGGATTAAAGGTATGCGCCACCATGCCTGGCTCTATTTATTTTTTTACTTTTGCTTGCTAAATAAACTTAAACTCATTCAAAACCAAAGCATGACTATTGTAGATCATTCTCTGGGCTGTACAGATCAGGGGACATGGCACTACCCACCTCTTCCTGAGGCAGCTTGGTTTCCATCCCAGTGCTGCCTTCCTGCTCTAGACCCATTTCAAGTCTTTTCCCAAGCACTCCCACAGCTCCTTGGTGTTCTCTGGGGTTCTGCTAAGGGTTGCCTCTTATAAGAAGTGTTCTAAGATGACTTTATGTCAGACTCATCACACCGTTCTGCTTTCTTCACTAAATTCATCTGAATTGACTTGAAATACCATGAGATTAGGGACAAGGCTTTACTCTGCTGTGTCATAACATCTTGCCCTGTGCTGGAGACATGGTATGTGAGTAGGCCACTGGATGATGCACTGGCAGGCTGCTCTGCCTACTGTAGCTCCTTCTTCTCCCCCTGAGGCATCTTCCTTACTGGTGCTTACATAGGACCCTAATTTCTCCAGCTCCCAATCCCAAGAGCAGATCTAAGAAGGCCCCTCGCCACTCCTCCCAGGCTCTACAGGGACTGGGCAGCTCTCAACAGCTCTGGCCCCCACCAGAGGCATCTCCAGAATTCCAAGACTGTTTCTGGAATGTCCAGCCTGTCTGGAGAATGCCTAGGCTGGGGCACACAGGTGCAGAAGCAATATGGTGACAGGGTGGAGAAAGAACAGCTGCTGACATTCTGGCTGGAGCCTGGGTGCCAATGGCAGCTGTCCCTCCTACAAACATTTCTGCCAACACCTCCACTTCCTTGCACTGTTCTGCCTGCAGCTCTGGCCTAGGCACCCCTACTCAGCTGGGAGTCACCACTCCTCAGGTCTTCACTTCCCATCAGGGAGAAAGACCAGATGGATGACTCAAGGCCAGCCTCAGAGGGCCACCAGAATTAGACATTAGGTCCATTTGGATCATGTCCAACAGACAGAGCCCTCAGCTGGCTACCAGGTGGCTGGTTCTTCTATAGACATACCAGATGACCTTGGTTCTCTAGACTATCAGGTCATTACCTGTAAAATGAGTGCTAGGGTACAGAGCAGACTACCTGCTCCTCAGAGGCAGAGTCAATGCCGCTGGTGGGAAATGCAAGTGAGTAGGAAGATGATTAGAACTACAGGCCCACTGGGTCCCACAGGCTCTAGCTTCACTTCAACTAGGCCTAAGAGGTTCCTGGGGCTGCTGTGCCAAGGGGTACCCAGTACCTGCTGAGCTAACTGGTCTCTCCAAGAGGGGCAATCCACTGGGTACCATACTGACTGACCCAGGCAGCCCCACTCCCACCCCAATGCCTGGCTAGAGTGGGCATGGGCAGCTCTGGGTAAAGGTCATTGCCTACTCCACATCTTTCATGAACTCCAGGAGTTTGTTAAAATGCAAATTCCAGGACCGCTACGAGGCCCAGTCATCAGCAGTGCACATAGAAAGTGGTCTTTCATCAATGAGTCTTCCTGCAGAAGGTAAGTGGGACAGTCAGAACACAGGCCCTTCAGCCAGCCTGACAGGGATGAAGGTGTAGGCAGGCAGGAAGGAACCCTGGGAAGAGACATTGGCCCCAGAAAAACTCAGAGCAAGACATCAGGCCTCTGGGGAGCAAGCTTTATTTGCATTCCCAGGACAAGGGTGGGGAGTAAGTCCAGGAGGGCCAAGGTTCAAGGGCAGACACAATCAGGCTCAGAGTCTAGGGCCCCCAGCCCCACTACAGGGCGTGGTTGGAGTGGGAGTACAGGCATGGGCAGCTTTTGATGGAAGGTCAGTGTCTACTCCACACCCTTCATGAACTCCAGGAACTCTGTGGAGAGAGGGGCAGTTGTGGGTTAGAGGTAGAAACTGGGCAGGGCATGGGCAGCGGGGGGGCGGATCTGGCCTAGCCACCCAGTCACCACTCACCATCATAGTCAATGCGGCCATCATTGTTCTTGTCACCATCCTTCATGAGCTCCTCGATGTCATCCTCCGTAATGGTCTCACCCGTGGCCTGTAGCATCATCTTCAGCTCATCCAGGTCAATATAGCCATCAGCATTTCTACAGGCAAAGCAAGGGGTACCTCAGAGTTCAGGGAGGGGAGGGGAGGAGGAAGGGGAAGAAGCACCCCCCCCATACACACACAGCCCCAGGAGGCAGGGCAGGGGTACTGGGAGATGAGCATTCCTGTGTCTCATCACATATGTTGGGAGACTGAAGCTGCAGGGTATCTAGCGTGAGATCTGAGACTATCCCTTCCCTTGCTGCTTGGGTCAGGGTCAGAAGCCAAGCATGTTCTCACTTGTCAAACATGCGGAAGAGGTCCGACAACTCCTCCTCAGATTTCCCTTTGCTGTCATCCTTCATGCACCGAACCATCATGACAAGGAACTCATCAAAGTCTACTGTGCCGCTGCCTGTGGGTGGGCAGTAGGGCCAGAGAGAAGCCATGGTCAGTACTTAGGCAGTTCACTCCCCGTGCCAAGTCCGTGCAACTGGTGTGTTCATTTGCCCACTTTTTGTTGTTTGTTTGAGACAGAATCTTGCTCTGTAGCCCAAGTTGGCCTATAACTCCCTGTGTAGCCCAGCTAGACCAGTCTCAAACTCATGGCAGTCCTATAGGCATGGGATTACAGGCATGAGCCACCATATCTAGCTATTTGTTCAGTTGCTAGAAGAGATGGCTGAGGCTTGGAGCAAAATAGCTCCTGGGCCAGTAAGCCCAGGGTATTAGAGGTGTGGAGCCTGAAGGGGACAGAGGGGCTCACCATCCTCATCTACTTCATCGATCATCTCCTGTAGCTCTTCAGGTGTGGGGTTCTGGCCCAGCATCCTCATCACCTTGCCCAGCTCCTTGGTGCTGATGCAGCCATCCTCAGCACCCAGCACAAAGATATCAAAGGCGGCCTTGAACTCTGTGTCCAAAAGGAGGTTGAGAAGACAGGGATCAGCAGCCAGTTCTCCAGAAAGCCAGATTCTTGGGGTCACCTTCAAACTGCACACCTCCCTCCAAGAGCTCTCTGAGATCACAGTGAAGAAGACCCTCAGCTTTTTTTACCTCTCGTCTGGAATATTCCTATTTTCCCCCAACCTGGCCCTCCTGTTCCCTCAGTAGGAGATAATTACCATTTTTCTGCTCTTCTGTCAGCTGTTCTACCTAGAAAAGAAAAAGGGTCTCAGGACCCAGACTTGGGCCTTAGCTACTATAGAGGAGACTGATTCCTTCCACAGGTAGGAAGACTGATGACAAAATGAAGCAGGCTTTCCCAGACCACAGAGCAAGTCTTCAGCCCTCCCTTCCTGCCCCCAAATACCTGAAGTAACTGACCCAGCTGGTCTTCCAGGGGATGGGCTTGGGGCCAGGGTAACAGATGGACACTCACTCTAAGACCAAGGTGCCCTGAGTAACAATACTCAATGACCACTCCATGTCCTTTAGGTCACTCTAATGAAACTTAAGCTGCATGGCCTGAGGGACAGCTGTCCCTTAGGTTGAGACAATAAAACTAATGTGGGGGTGAGCAAAGCCACCCACTGTAACCTGACCAGGGTGGCCGCTGGGCTATTTTTAAAGGGGGACAAAGTTAAACCTGGTGATTGTTCTGGGGATTTTGGTATGCAGGGGGTGGGGCAGTGTTATCTGCCCCCCTAGCCTGCTGGTGCTGCCTCAGGAGCCAAAATTAGTCCCCAGCCCCGCCAGACCTTGTATGGACACTGGGTGGAGGGCTGCCCCCCTCCTCCAGCCCCATGGACGTCTACAGGATAAGCAGGGGTGCTGCAGAAGCCAGCTGCAGTCCCTCCTTGCTCACAAGTGGGGCCACATTCTGGGAGCTGGGGGAGGATCCCCTGGGAACAGCTGTTTGCCAGGATCTCCTTGTCTCTGGGGTGGGCAGAGGTTATATCAGAAGCCCCTCAGTGACCCTAGGAGACTGCAGGGTCTTGAGGTGACTGCTTTCTAGCCCTGACTCAGTCATTCTCAACTTGTACCTAAGCCCTGAGCCTGCCACTTCCTATGGGGAATAAGGTCTCAGCTCTCTGTTCCTTCTCCTCTGACTCAAAGCCAGGCCTGAACCTTCAAAGTCCATTTCCTAGCCCAGAATTCAAGTTCTGCAGCCCTTCTCACAATCCCCTCTCACTTTCTGAAGCATCTTCAGCTAATTAAGAGGCTAGAGGACGGTGACAGATCTGAACATGTAAGAAACAGAATGTGAGAGGCAGAAATGGGGGCTAGAGACACAAAGAGAGAAATAGAGACTCAGAAACAGTGCAGAAGGAATAGGACAAAAAGAGATGGAGGAAGATCAAAAGATCCACAGAATAGAAACAGAAATGTAGCCAAGGGACAGGACTCAGACTACAAACATCTGGAAACAGGGAGACACAGGATGCTAAAAGCTGAGACCACACCCTATACCCACCCTGCACTTCCAAACATCAGTCCACCAGTCCCTTGAGAAGCTTGGCTAAAGATGTGTGGGGCCTCTCTTGGGTCTCCCATCACTTTCCTAAGGCAGTCTTGTCTCCCATTCTGAGCTGAGTAAGCCCCCAATGGGCCTACACACCCCACACTTTCCAGACCCATCCCTTACCGCAGCTTTGTAGATGTCATCCATGCTGGCGGCTCCCGGGACAGGCTGCTGAGGTTGCCAGCCAGCCAGCCCTCAGCCTGGGCTTAAATAACCCTGCCTGCCCCCACCTCCCTCTACATTCCCAGCCCAGCCCACCGCTGCGTGTAATATCCTCCACCCCCTCCTCTGGTCCCTGTAATCTCAGGCTGGCCAGAGTCCCTGTATCCTCTGCCCAGGGCAGGGAGCCATGAAAGGCTGCAAGGTCCAGGTCTTTTGCCCTCTGTTCCCCACATCCCATAGGAAAGTCTCAAGAAACATTCCTTTAAAAAATTATATTAAATATATTTATGTGTGCATGCAGAGGTCAGAGGACACTTTGTAAGAGTCAGCACTCTCCCTCTTCCATGTAGGTTCCTGGGACTGAACTCAGGTCTTCAGTCTTGGTGGCAAGAACCTCTGCCCACTGAGCCATCTCACCAGCTGCAGGAAAAGTTTCTTGAATCAATGAAAACATGAGCCTAGGCCTAGACATGAGCTTCAAAGTAATGGGATCTAGGCCAGGTCCCTAAATACAGCTCAATTTTCTATCCAATCAGAGAAATGAGTGCTACCACCCCCATTTTTCTAGCTAAGGAAACAGCAGGTTTTCATGGTTGGTGATTTGCCCAAGACGGGTCTGACTTGGGAGCCCCTGACTTACACTATACTTCTCAGGAGAAGGGGATCACATGTACGCAGAGGCTGGCAGCATAAGTCTGCCAAGCCTCCTATGTGACATTCAGAGGATGGCAGTAAGAAACTGGTAAGGAAGGGACTGGCCCACCTAGGATAGACTGGCCTGGAGCCCCAGACCTTCCATCTCCCAAGGAGAGCAATGCTCACTTAAGATAGACTTGAGTGACCTGCATTCAGTCATCAAACACCCCTACAGAGCCCTCTCCATAGCAAGTTGTCTCTTCATCCTCCAGTTGGGTCACCATTGCCCTCTTCTCTGACTGTGTCTCCCTCAAGGTTAAGGCTGTTTTTCCAGTCAAGCACTAAAGCTCTTGTGTCCAGGGTCAGTCTGTTTGTCCCTCGGTTTGAGCTCTGGCAGGACGTCATCTGAGGAACGTAAGCCCAGTGGGTAGCACATACCTCTTCCCTTCACCTGCACCCTTATTTCATAGCCTTGATAAACACTCCATCTCCCAGCCTGATGCACTATGGCAGTGTGCTGAGCACTGACCATGGGTGCATGTGACAAGAGACCGCCCCCCAACCCGGAGGGTCATTCTGGCCTGCCAGCTAGAGCTCTATCCAGCCCTCATCTCCTTCGACTCACTCTTGCCCCACAGAGAATGAGCCCAACAGTCAACTGAGGCTCTATTACTACCCATCCTTTTCCAGGGGGAAAGTGAGGCTAGGCGAAGCAGGGACGGACTTCGGGGAGCTCAGAAGACGCCTGGCCTCTACACTCGGTTTCTCAGGACCCCACGGGCAATAAATAACCACAATAGCCTGCGTCAAGGTCCGAAGCAACACAAGTTTACAAAAGGCAGGCGAGCAGGCGCGGACTACGCATGCGTGTCATGAGCGGTGCTGTCAATTACGCGCGAGGGGCGGGGCGAGGGCTAGAGAAAGCCGCCCAGCCAAGATGGCGGCGCGGGCGAGGGGCGGG